TCCATATTTCAGAAGAAGGCTTCCAGGCTGCCACGTTGTTTTTGGTATTATCCGCACCAAGGGGAACAGAAAGCGAATGGTAAGTGTAAAATTAATCCAATAATGTGAAGATCTGTAATTGCTTAACGCCTAAAAAATCAAAGAAATGAGTTAATTCGGAGTGTGATTTCCGAACGTCAGATCGTGTGATTGAAGCACGTGGCGAGCGGTCAGTGTAGAACGAAGACAGTGGACTGCAGACTGCGGACGGCAGACTGCGGACTGGGGGTATAATGACTGTAATGAAGACTGAGGGAAATGTATGCCTGGAGGTTTGATAAATCGATCCATGGAGGTGATTTTTCGTTGATATGAAAGGCACAAAAAATGCTGATATTGCGTGACATCGTTATCCTTGGGCTACACTAGTTTATTGCGTTATCTTACCATTTCCTGAGAAGTCAGCTGTGGGTCCCGTGCTGGGGGTGCTACTCGTTGGTCCTTTGTTGAAAGTCCAGTCAAAATCCTCACTGTTGTCTTGAGTAAAACCACACAACGACTTGCTGTCGAAATTACAGTACACTGAAACACAAAGCAGGATACTTTTTTGAATCAAGAATCTGCAGGTCTGAGTCGTATGTTATAACTTAATTAGTTATAGACAAAGAAACAAACACTTTTGGTTACCAGGTAGCTTGCGATCGTAGAATGAGTTGAAGGCGATTTTTTGCCAGCCTCGAGGCATCCAGCGCTATTAGGGAGTTTAAGAACCAGAACGGGACGCCGAGGACGACGTCGATTAAAAAATGATTTTATATTTTACCTAGGAGTCTCGCGATATTCTACTGTCATTTTCCTTTGTTTGTCAGTGTCAAAACTATCACGAAACTGAATCTGGGACAGAGAGAAACATTTGAAATAAAAATTACAAATAAATTAGCCGTCGCGGTTCACGTTCTCCGGACAACGTTGTTAGGGAGCTTAAACAACGACGACTTCCACGCCGAGGACTACGCCTAGTAGAAAACGAATTTATATTTCACCAGCAAAATTCGCGATTGTGTAGATCTGTTTGGTACACCAATGGCTCTAAAAACGTGCTCAGGCTAAATATGCAATGACATCGTTCAGTTCCAAATGGAAATACGAAAAATTAGTCGTCGTCGTCCACGTTCAGTATACGACGCAGAACTTGGTCATTTAACGTTGTTGTTTTGCAGAGGACGGCAAAGAAGTGTACCAAAAATTATAACCCACGTGCACAGCTATTGTTCTGCTCATTAACCCTTTTGTTTAGCGACGTTCTCGTTGTCGTCGTGGTTTTATTAAACTCCCTATTGAACTCTTAGAAACGCGACGTGATTTCACGTCGTTGTCGACGTGTTCCTTTATAGTTCATCATTTTCTCTTTGGTGTTTTCCTATCTAAGTCAACTACTATTTTCAGGTTATTTTGCACGTCCGTGACTGAGTCCCTTTAAACATGTCTATGAGCAACTGATGTGTCCAAACCTCCCCTCCCTACCAAAGAACCCACCTTGCTTAGCTGCTGGGGTAGGCTTAGTAGTAGGAGGGGGCTTGGTGATCACAAATTGGCTACAGTCTCCTGGTGTTAATCGGATCTCGTCCAGCGCGATATCTCCGGCATATCCCAGACCTCTCTCAGCTTCAAATACTATCTGTAATGTACACAAGCTAAATGAGAAACCACACTACGTTGATATTTTTTCCTAGGAAGAGTAGAATGAAGAAAAAGTACATTAAAAAAAACAAAAAACAAAACAAAACAAACAAAACAAAACAAAACAAAACACAAAACAACAACAACAACAAAACCCGACCCACCTAAATATAGTTAAGACTGAGGTTGTTTGCCATTTACACGGAGAAACCGGTTCGTCAACGGTTTGTGCATATAGTAAGCAAAAATGCCTGAAAGAGACTAGGACGAATTTGACCTGATCATAATTCCAAGATGGCGGTGAAGAATCTGCAAATGGTAAGCACTCTTTTCACTCGTTTATTTCGGTTGGAAATTTTGGACTACCTTTGAAGACGTTTCGTTTATTAAGCAAATTTTCCGTTCGGTCGAGCTAAAATTGTCTCACCATTTACATTCTGACCGAAATTTCAAGAATTTTTTTGGTAAATAGTGAACAGCCTGAGCTACAAGCTGAACAACGACTTAACAATGAATTAAGGACATTAATTAGCGCGAAAATTTTCTACTCCATAGATTTTTTTAAACTTCTACTGCGGACAGATAATAATATACTTGTGTCAGAAATTTGAAATAAAAATTGGGGGTCACCGACTTCGTTTCAGAGATCAAGCGTGTGGAAAACTAGTCTGATTTTGATAAATTGGTGCGCGTAATTCAGCATTGTCTCCAGGGTTTTTAGGTTAAAATATCAAAGTTAAGTCAGCAGAGGCAAGCTGTCCTAATAATATTTTGTATAAGTGAATCTGTGGCGTTAATAATTCCAAATATTACCATTATTTTCACAATAAAAATAGGGGTCACCGAACGTCCAAGATCGTTAAATCCACGCAAAGTTGTAGCAGTGGCCATTTGTCCTATTATTGTTCACTTTACTACTTAGCGCGCGCGCTCGAAGCATGACATGGCGTCTGAATTTCGTGCGCAGTAAGGATGCGCAGAAACAATTAGCGCGAACGTCCTTAAACAAGATTGAGACTCAAGACAATAATAATAATACGCATTGCAGACCAATAATAAACTTGAGTGAACTTTCGCGTTTTGTGCACTAAACTGGACAATAATTACATGTTTCCGTCTCTTTCTGTCAAAATAAAGGACAACAGTCAGGGACTAGATCGAACATCTTTCGCTCTCGAACAGCAAGGCCCAAATCCAAATAAAAACGCCACTGTCAACGAGCTTGCCGAAGATATGAAATTTAACTTTTGATTTCGATCCTTCCCATTAAAAACGTCGTAAATTGAACAGTTTACCTGGTAAGGTTGGACGCCTCGAATGGTAATTTTAGCTGAATTCCATACATCTCCACGGTTATCGCTGTACGATCCTACCACAGTCGCTTGTGAGCCCACCACAACAAATACACGTAATGTGCCCATCTGACCGCCGTGCATGTTAAAGTAGAATTGCAGGCAATAGTCACCAGCCAGTCTGGGCGAGAACAGGTGCGCGCGGTCACCACTCTGGCGTGGAAATGACGCCTCGGCATAGATGTAGTAACCTAGAAAAATTGGAAAAAAGTACAGAATTACTAGAAAACCTGAACTGTTTTTATTTGGAATCTATTCCGAGTAAACGGGTGTGTTGGCAACTGCCTTAGTTGCGTACATAACTGCGATGATCTATAATGTATTTTAATGGCGTGTGTGTTGTCGCAAACTGATTTTCATCCACCCCTGGTAAGATGATTGTTGTTTGAACTGACAAAAATTCCACTCTGGTAACGAAGTAGCACCACAGGGTTTCTGCAACGCCTTGGATAGGTTGTTAATTGCTCGTGAATTTCTGTTCTCTTCTGCACCAATCAGAGACAATACTCCGAGTTCTCAAGAGCTACATCATTAGACGTCTCGAGCAGGGAATGGAAATAACGCTTCTCGGAATCTCCGGTAGAACATGTGAGAGACTCACATGATGCGCGATACGGCGAAAAGTAAGGTGCAAGATTGAAAGAGCTCCTTGAAAAGTCAAGTAATCGGGTAAACACAGACCGTTTGGGCTTAGCACTTCTTCAGTGTGGAAAAAAAACCCCACCTATTTACACACCAAGGAATGGCTATGCCTGAAACTTAAGCAGTATTCACCTAACTGTCTGAAACTTCAAATACAGTAGCCTTTTCAGTCTTGCACATAGATCGGAATCTCGCCTACGCGGATAACTCTTAACTTGTAGTTCAGTAAGGTTCAACATGTAAAAGTGAGACAATTTCGAGTAGAAGCTGCAAACTTTGGTTTCCTTGAACTCCTTAATAAGGTGTCATATACATGAAGAAAAGTAAAACTTAAGATGAACTGCTACGATTTACTGTTTAGTTTATATCTGCCATTTTCTGGTATAGCATACTCCGAAATATATAGTCCAAATTGTAGTGAATTGTTGATTAACACGAACTAATCAAAATTTTGACTCGAAGCTATTAATATTACAAATCGAATGTGGTTTAGCGTTTTCTGTACTCTTATCGACAACGATATGCGTCATCACAATGGTCAAAATGCGCCTCGTGAGCCCACAACAAACTTTGACCTCTGTGATGACGTATATCGTTGTCGATAAGAGTATAGACAACACTAAACCACATTCGATTGGTTTTTAACCCCAATATCAACGTCAAAGAAAATGTGAGAGTGAGTGTGACCAAGAGCGTGACACATCGACGCGAACAGCGTTGTTTGGACTCTTATCGCAACGGCAAATTAGCCAATCAGATTGCGAGATTAGTAGCAATTGTGGTAAAAAACCTTTTTCTCTAGATTGAGATCGTGTTAATGTGAGCCTATACTTTACAGGGTTGTAGAAGGTGTACAAGAGAAGCTTCCAATTCCTGACCTGTCGAAGAGACGTCAGCGCTCGGTCCAGTTTCCGGCGCGCTTGACGTAGTTCCCCTGTTAAACAGCCAGTCGTACTGGTCACCAGTTCCCTGCGTGAATTGACACAAAGACTGGGCATCGAAGTTGCAGTACACTAGGAATCAATCGTGGCAAAAAGTTAGTTGTTGTTGGGGGTAAATTAGCTTCCCTAGCGGATGGGGTACTCACGAAAAAAACATGAGGCAGAGAGACAGGAAAAAATCCAATTCCTGACCTTTCGAAGAGACGTCAGCAGTCGGTCTAGTTTCCTCTCCCACACCCTCCCCCCCAAAAAAGAAAATAACATTGTAAACACGATAGATATGTCAGTAACACGCTATCTTGAACTGTATTCTCCATTGCAAAAACACTCGTTCAAATCCTGCCTGCCCTAAGCAAGTCGGCCCTAAGCAAATTATCATCCCTCAGAATACTGTATATTGCATCCCTGATCCAAATTTACTATAAAGGATATGAACGATGTCCCCAAAAATATTCAGTTGTTTACGCACGTTAAAGAGCTCAGTCACGGTTTGCGCATATTGAAAATTTTAGCCTCAATTTTTCAAATTCGTCGTTTGTAATCCGTGTTAATCTTCCCCATCCTTAGCCATCCTTGTTCCTGTATGGTTTATCATTATCTCTTTGGTGCTTTTCTATCTTATAACTGTTATTTTCAGGTTTCCTATCATTTAAAGGTAATTTTGTACGCGGCCAAAATAACTCAAAATACTGTAACTCAGAGCCTTTAAACTTCAACTTCATGTCGAAAACATTCTCCAAATTTTTTAGTCTCAGGAATGAAGTGTGCATGCTAACCTTCACTGCGACTAGGTGGGATGGGAGTGGTTCTCGGCTTGACTGGGATTGGTGTGGTGACCGGCGGAGAAGGGGTCGCCGACGGGTCTTCGCATTTCCCTGGGGTTAGTTTAATCTCGTCCAACGCAATATCACTTCGATAACCGGTACCACGAATAGCCTCAAATGCAATCTGCCAACGATAGAGAAAATTAGTTTTAATTTATACTCTTGACTCCTACCTTGAAACATCGCAAGGGTTTTAAAGTTACACACGCTCTCATATAACGTTCCATTTGAACACGTCAGCTCCTTCAATCTGTTTTACCTAAGGAAGTCTAAGGAGACTAAACCAGGGATTTTTTTAGCGAAAAAATCAATAGTGCTTTCCACAAGTTCTAAAAGCTGTAGAAAACATTAAGATGGAAGCTATTAAAGCGCCCATAACTGAAGTAAGATTGGCGTAGGTATCCAAATACAAAACGTTGTTAATGAATATATACCTGTAATTCGACACCCAATTGGACAAATAGGCGCGCGGAAAGCCAATCATGATTGTTATAGATACGATTAAACCTAAAAAAAAATAGCCATTTTCGCGGAGCGGAAAAGCTTGTGATTATCGGAAGATTGTTGGCGTGACAAGTTTGCTACTTGAGAGGAGTGGGGCGTGTAATTTTTGCTATCACAAGAGCATTTCCCACCGGGGGAGCCCAAAGGGACAATTAACCGGCTGTAGACTGATCGAATGGTCAACAACTCAAACAATTTCAATACTGTGGTGACTTTATGTCAGACTCTTGGATCACCTCTCGTTCATGCGTTCACGCGTTCTTGTTTATCGCAGAGGGAATTTTTTTTTTTCATAAGTCGCGAGCAGCGTTGCAACAGTGAAAATTTAGTCGAATAAACGTTTCATCATCACCTGAAATTGTTCGGGACCCGTCAAGGAAGTCTGCGCCATATACCACCGATCTCCTTGGTTACCGTTGATGGAAAATACCTCGGTGTTGGTCGAACCTGAATTCTTGTAGACTTTCAGAGATCCCATGCTGGTACCCAACATGTGGAAATGAAAACGAAGGCAGTAAGGTCCCGTCAGCCGGGGAGACATCAGGACTGCTCGGTTACCCTGTTCACGCGGCCTAGATGTCTCGGCGTAAATGTAGAAACCTGTAAAAATAATAAGTTGGTCGTTGTTTGTTCATGTAACACACTTGATTATATGACTGAGAAAATTACATCATTGCGATTGGCTGACAGCGCGGCAATTTATTGTTAATTCTTAATTTGCACTGCAGTGCAGATTTAAGTGCGCGCGCGTTCGCAATTTTTCAGCCATGTAGTCCGTAATAAGGAAGTTATCGTCAGAAAGACCGAGCAATTAAGGATTTACACTACTCGAGATATTTGAAAACTCTTCCAAATTGCACTCGCCTAAAGGTTTGTGAAGTTTTGAGAGAATTTTCAAACATCTCGAGTAGTGCAGTGGAAATCCTTAATTGCCCTCGCGTGCATGCAAGTAAACACAACGGACAAAATGAAACTATGACGTTTCTGCCCGTTACATCCTACAAGAGACCGTGGTTGTTCACTGAACAAGATCTAAACAACTGCGCACTGCTTCAGAGTGGCTCACCAAGACAACATTCCCTCTTTGATGATTATCTTTATTCTCATTGCCTGTCTGCTAATGTAGTGTACAGATATCGTTGAGAGAAATTATTTGTTGATCAATCGTACCATTTCCAGACATATCCGTACTCGGCCCAGTCCCACCGCTTGAGGTGGGACCTCGCTTGACGGTCCAATCAAAGTCGTCTCCAGTCCCTTGAAAGAATTCGCATAGCGAGCCAGTGTCAAAACTGCAATAGACTGTTGACAAGTGAAAATGTTAGCAATGAGCTCAATATTCGAATGAGGTACATCGTGTTATACAAGAATTTATACCATGTGCATGCCATATAAAATATAGCCAATCAAAATACAGGAAAGCAGTTGTACATCCGACGGTATTACGTCCAACTTTTCCATATCATGTACTGCGCGTATGTCGCATTGAAAGCGTTGGCCGCTGTATTTTCTATGGTATGATATAAAATATAGGCGAGTATGTATACCAAGAAAATACAAGTGACTCGTAGGATATTCCATGGTATACCATGGGAGAGCGTTGCATGACTAGTATTTATAGGTCCAGTGGTCATAAATTGTCAAACTACTCACCCACGGAATTTGCGTCTGGTCCTGGATCAACTGGTTCTAGAACCAAGAAACAATTATTGCTTGCTTCACTGCTGCTTCTTGTTTGAAAGTCTATATTCTGGGGCACGTTGACTTCAGTGACCTACACTACCCTAACATATTGCGATATCTGTTCCACACTATTCCATTCCCCTTGGCAAGGAATTTGTTCATTATAGGAATTTGACCGGTAGAGTACTCTCACTTCCAGTGAGAGTAAAGCGTCTCGCCCAAGAACTCGACCCAATGATCCCGGCCTGCAATCGAATTGATCACTCTATGGGATCCTTTGCAATTTCCATCAGGGTACCTCAGCTCACCTACCAATTTTTGCTTCATTTTACCTCTAACAATATAATTATGCTTTGGTATCTGTGCTTTTAGATGGTCCCGATTAAAGGGCACTGTAAGTTCATTTTAATGAATGGTTTATAAGTTTGGGGAGGAATAAAGTAAGACAACGTTTATGCAAACGAACGAGTAGATTTACACGGTTGTCATCCTTGTAGCAGTTTACTTTTAGTATCCAGCCAAGATTCTCAGCTAAAAAGTATCACCTTTATTCCCCCTTTTTCTTCATTTTCACTTGTCCCTTTCACCTTGTCCTCCTTCTTAAATATCATTAAAATCATCAAAAAGTTATCAAAACTTTACTGGACGTTACAAACTAATGCCCGCAGTTTTAAAGAGCTGAAATCTTAAAGAGATATTCAATGCGTTCGCGACCGTTCTGTCAAGAATTGCACTTAAGTATAACCCCTTCACCTCACCCTTTATGTCTAACTTACTGTTCGGACACTTGTACAGCTTGTTAATCTGCCGAATGTCGTTAGCGCTTAACTCATTCCGCTGACCCATTTGATCGGCGCCAGTCTTCAGTCCAACGATAGTAGACCGACCATTCCTGCTGAAGGATTTTGGTCCATAATGCATTATGCTCCCATAGTCGTAAGGTTCGCCAAGATCTTGGATCTGACCATGACCGAATTTGTCGAAATTGTTTTCTTTGCCTAGTGAAACAGACAAAAAATCAGCACTGACATTTGTGTAAAAGAAGTCGTCGCTAGAGTTCATTACACCTGGTTCTTGCACTTGTGCTCTTTCTGTGACGATGTCTGTTTTTTACTGTCAACTGCCTGTCGGACAATCTAATGACGATTCAACGGTATTACACCCAGCCTTCCCATCATGCGCCGCGCGTATGTCCCACTGATTATGTTGGCCACTGTATTTTCTATGGCATGGTATAAAACAGTTATGCAACGTTCTCTCGTGGTATACTATGAAATATCTCACTTGTCACTTGAAGGCTTGTGTGTATACCGAGAAAATACAAGTGACTCTTGGGACATTCTATGGTATATCACGTGAAAACGTTTTATAGCTAGTGCATACATACTGTAAACTGTGATACTCTCCAAACGGAGAGGCGTATACTCTTTAATATTAGAAAGAGCTATTACAAAAAAGACTCGGCCTGGTTTTCATCATACGTTTCTTCAGAAAATTCAGTCCAGTCGAAGCAAGTTTGTAATCATAACTTGAATACATACTGATGCTGAATGTCCCCCCCTCCCTTTAAACGACTTCTAAACAGCCCATCTATAGACGTGAAGAACGGTTCATAGTTCGAGGCCAGTTACTTCCCGGGGTTGGGAAATCATGCACAACTTCTAAAGCACGGCTAGAGCAGTGCAGTATGTAATATTTCTGTTGTGCTTGTTTAGTGACAGTGAACGGGTTTTTGAACGGTTGAAGAAATTGCCATTGAAAGTATCATTGATGAGGAAGCTTCTGTAACTAACAAAGAAAATGGGGAGGTGTGACAAATTGGAAGCACTGTAACCGCGTTTTTGGTGTGCTGGGAACAGTTCTATACTTACACATGTTTTGTGAAACCATTAATGAAACTTTGTCTAATTAAACAATTGTAAGTTGGTGAGAACGGGGTATAAGAATGGAATTGTACAGCTGTGGCAATTTGGAAGAGCTGACCTTTTCGAGGGTTAGCCCTTTATCCAAGCGAATATATCGAGGGATTGTGGTTCGAGTGTTTGTATGTAAATAGAGTGCTTAAGGGAGATTTAGACGGTCATTCTTTGTCCCATGTGACAAACCTCTATGACATGAATTGTCTCATATAAGTCAAACTTACGATCTGCTTGTGATTGTTGTGAACCACACTAAAATCTTGAAGGGTTTTGAAAGTAATAGATCAAACACAAAAGACCGTGTTTGAACACATTTCTAAACACCGAGAAGAGAGTTGAAAATAGGACACGCAGCGGAGTATTTTTGACGAACTTCGAGGTGTTTGGAAATGTGGGCAAACATAGTCTTGACTGTTTGATATATCTTCTCAATTAATCGCAACTAAAAGTAATAACAAACGGGAGAAATAAATCGTGAAAGTCTATGGTAAATAAGATCAGATATCCAAACACCATCACGGTCATGATTTCCTTTGTTCAAACTTGATGAATTATCAATGAGTTTGAGAACACGTTTTACAACCCTATGACAATAGATACGTTAGACGATGTTATATGATGAGAATTATATGAGATTTCAGCATCACGCTCATAAAGTCCCATGGGACAAAGTTGTGCCTGAGGCAGCGTCCACACTACACCGGAGAAATATGAAAACGCAGCTTTATTTCTACGGTTAGGCCTACCGTCCACACTAATCCGTCACGAAAACGGAGCTTCTCGTTTTCATGTGGACGGAAAACATTTTTGAACCGGAACTTTTCGAAAACGATGGCGTCACGATAATCATGTGATTTCCCCATCCAAGTTTTCCTTAAACACAAATCCAAAATATCCGGTGATTGTTGCGTTTTTAAATTCCTCCGGGTGGTGTGGATGGAAAGCATTTGATGCGTTTTCAGAGTGAAACCTCCGTTTTCTAATTCCTTCGGCGTAGTGTGGACGGGGCTTAAAGGAGCTCAGTCACGGTGTTTTGTCTTTTTTTTGGGCCTCGTACAAAATCTCCTTTAAATGGAAGGAAACCAGAAAATAATAGTTTACTAAGATAGAAAAACATCAAAGAGATAATAATAAACCATAAAGGAACAAGGATGGTCAAGGATGGCGAAGATTGACACGGATTGCAAACAACGAATTTGAAAAATTTAGGCTAAACCTTTCAAAATGTGCAAATCGTAACTGAGCTCCTATAAGGAGTTATGCTGTTGAAGGGAACATGCAAAGCTCCTGGTATCTTACCCACTTCAATGTTTTGGTATAGGATATTGACGTAGCTATCTCTGTCAGTGCGTGACTGCTCGTGGAAGAAACCGATAGCGTGGGCTATTTCGTGGATGACAATCCCCTTGTACCAGCAGTATTGGTGAAGATTTACCTTCTGCTCGCCACGTGCTGTGCGACCCACAGATGAAGAGCACCTGTCAATCAGAGGAAACGGTAAGTTGTTCAATGTTTACATCCTATTGACGTAATGCAAGTGACTCATTCTGCAAGGGAGTAAGGGAATAACGAAGAAGGCGCAATGTAAAACAAGCTGTGTACATACGAATGGCAGGGATACGAATAACCTACAACATCTGCCGGTGTAAAAAGTTCAGTGGAATTGATACAATGAGGTGAAGCCAGGCAGTCTATGGGTCCTCTATGGGTCTAGTGGGCGTAAAATAGACATTTCTTAGTATCAGGTGTATCTGTCATTTTGTAGTATTCATATGCGATTAAGTTTGAGCATCAGTTGCGCATTCGATTTGTGTTACTTGCGATCGGCTTCGGAAAATAATTGATTTGCTCGCCACAGACAAACAAAGATATTTTGGTCAACTTGGCCTAATAATTGTTAAATATTATACAGTACACGATATTAGTCCAACATTTTGAGCTCCTGTACTGCGTTGGCCAATTTTTACCTACCCGTCGCCATCAGTGAACCTGATGTAGTTTTTTTGAGTGGTCCTTCGAACAAACTTTAAACATGTCAGCTTGTGATAATCTGCTATGGCTTCATTGATCGCTTTGACGCCAGCTTGTCCTGCGCATGTCAAATAACAAAACAGAAAAGAAAACAAATCAAACAGTTTGTTTTATGCAATGTTGGTGTTTTTTTTGTGTGACTTTCATTTAAGAGAAGGGAAGGTATATATGTGAATTGCGCCAACTATTTTTTCATTACAAAACTCAATTCTTTTTTATCACATCCAGTACCTTCTATACAGCGGAACACCTTCTTACAGGCGACCATCATTAAGACGACCATCACCTCGCTTTTGTGGCCACTTTTCTATTTTCAGAACGCCTTTATTGCAACCACAGTTTTAATTATGGCTCCATTTGGTCGTATTTAACGGGGTTCTACTATGTTTTTTTCTGTGAGTCAAATACAGCTTCCTGAGATTTCCAAAACGTGCACGAATGCTTTCACGAAAAACATAGCCAAGAGCAGACTAAGACTGAAGTGACCGTGTTAGACCCTGGGGAGGACTTGAAACTACTGACTAGGGGGTCAAGTCTTCGTGGCAGCTCTTGGAGCACGCCGGCTATATACTGACTTATTTACTGGAATCCAGGTCGGAATATAATGTCCTATAATTACTCACCAATGCTTCTATCTACGAGATAAGGCACGGTATTGCTTGGCCAAAGTCCGTGCGGGTATGTGATGGCATTGCGGGCGTTGGGGTCTTGTGTTATAAACCTTAGAGTCTCGACGTCCGCGATGATGTCGCCCAGCAGTATGTCGGGACCAGTACTACCTAAAACTAAAGAGTTTAAAAAGCACTTTATGCAAGAGACAAAAATACCATTAAAACTATTGAAGCTTCAAGATAGTTTTTTTTTTT